TCTGTAAATCTCTAATAAGTTCACCAACACCCTAAAAACACTAAACTTCAAGTACAGTGAGAGATACAATCCTGTATCGTCACTGTTCTCGACCAGTAGCGGTGTAAGACATGACTGCTCAAACTTGGCATTTTCCTAAGGCTTTGTCATGGTTGACATTCTGAATAATGTGCATAATGGTGGTTGAGTAGAACTGCTGCAATCATACGGTATCACCTTACTGGGATACAACATACAGACCACCTAAATAGTACATAACTTAGCGATTGAGGTCTGCGAGTATGATATATACTTTGGACTACCCAAGTGATAAGACTAACAGGAATCTATGTTCACTGTTGGAAGTACTTGGAAAGTTCGTGTACCTAGATACCTACGTGTATGGATGGTGTGAGGGGTGAAATCTATGTCATGGCGTTAGTCCGGCCATCAATAATTACGTTGAGAACTATGAACGCAGTCATGCTCTGAGTCTGTGACACCTGGTTTGTACGGCAGCTCTGCGTGTTGGAAAATCGCTATCTGCACAAAATTACTTATTTCCGCAGGTATGCATTCATAATTAATTCTGAGATCCTAGGGTACCTGGAATGTTCGTACAATGTACGAAACTGGAAAGGCTGCCCAGATAGCCGCTGAAATGAGAAGGTACAGAATAGAAGTGTTGGGAATCTGCGAGAGCAGATGGAACGGAACTGGAAGGTGCCAACTACCAACTGGAGAGACAATAATCTATTCCGGCCACCCAGAGGACAACCACGAGCACACCGAGGGAGTGGCCATCATGATGTCACCAACAGCAGCCAAAGCTCTCATGCAGTGGGAACCAATCTCCTCCAGGATAATGACAGCCAGGTTCAACTCAAAAGGAAGGAAAGTTACAGTCATTCAATGCTATGCGCCTACAAACGTCTCAGAACAAGAGAAGAAGGAGGCGTTCTACAGACAACTACAAGCAATAATGGACAACGTCCCAAATGGCGATATCAAAATCCTGATGGGCGACATGAATGCGAAGCTGGGAGGAGACAACACAGGAAGAGAACTCACCATGGGTCGTGAGGCCCTCGGCGAAATGAACGACAATGGTGAACTCTTCTCAGACTTCTGCGCCTTCAATGATTTGGTGATTGGTGGTAGTGTGTTCAAACACAAGGATATACACAAGACGACATGGATTTCACCAGATGGAAACACCAAGAACCAAATAGACTTCATCTCAATTTCAAGAAAGTGGAGACGGAGCCTACTGGACACAAGGTCAAGGAGAGGAGCAGATGTGGGTTCAGACCACTATCTAGTACAAGGGACTTTCAAGGTGAAACTAAAAGCCTCGAGGATAGCTGGGATAGGCCACAATGCAAGTTCAACACTCAATTACTGAAGGACACAACCACAAAAGACACTTTCACTGCAACTGTCAGAGCAAAGCAGGAAACACTACGCGACATCACTGAAGAATCATGCGTGGAAGAACATTGGAAGTCTCTGAAGGCGATTCTCAACGAAACGTGTTCAACGGTTCTAGGAAGAAAGAAGAGACAAGACAAGGAATGGCTCTCAACGGACACTTGGAAATTAATAGAAGAGAGGAGAATGGTGAAAGAGAAAATGATTCAATGCAAGGACGGACAGGAGAAGGAGACGCTGAGCTCAACTTACAAAGCACTGGACAAAGAAGTGAAGAAGAGTGCTAGGAAGGACAAAAGACGATTCTACGACAACCTCGCTACTGAAGCTGAAAAGGCAGCAGGCAAAAGGGACCTGAGGACACTATATCAGATAACCAAATCTCTATCCGGGAAGAGATCAACACAAGCGAAACCTATAAAAGACAGCCAAGGGAACCCATTACCAAGGAAGAAAAACAGATTAAACAATGGGCGGATCACTTCAAAGGACTCTTGAACCGACCATCACCTGCAACCCGTCCAGAAATACCAACAACAGCGCGCACACAACTGCAAGTTGACACCAATCCTCCAACGAGAGCTGAAGTCTTGAACGCAATCAAACTTCTGAAAGCTGGAAAAACAGCCGGACCAGATGGAATACCCCCTGAAGCACTGAAAGCAGACCCAGAGACGACAGCAGACATGCTGACTCCATTATTGCAAAAGGTCTGGAAGGAGGGAAAGGTGCCTACTGACTGGAGGAAAGGTTACCTCGTGAAACTACCAAAGAAGGGCGACTTAGGCCTCGCTCTGCAAGAACTGGCGAGGAATCATGCTCCTATCGACGCCAAGTAAAATCCTGAGTCGCATCATCCTGGAGAGATTAAAGGACGCACTGGAGACAGAACTCCGACCAGAACAAGCTGGATTCAGGAAAGGCAAATCATGTACTGACCAAATTGCAACTCTACGCATCATCATCACAGAACAAAGCATGGAATGGCAATCAAACCTCTACCTCAACTTTATAGACTTTGAGAAGGCCTTCGACAGCGTTGATCGCGAAGTAATTTGGAAATTACTCGAGTACTATGGCGTACCCCAAATATTCATCAACCTTATTCAACAGCTGTACGACAACGGCACATCCCAAGTGATCCACAACGGAAAACTCAGCGAGGCGTTTGGAGTAAACACAGGAGTCAGACAAGGGTGCTTATTATCTATCACCAATGATATTCCTAATTGTGGTGGACTGACTGGATTATGCGTCAGACAGTGGGAAACGAGAAGACAGGAATATCCTGGACCGACGTGAAGAACCTAGAAGACCTGGATTTCGCGCGTGGATGATTTATGTTTGATGTCACACACAATCGAAGACTTACAAGCGAAAACCGACAAACTGGTCGAAGAAGCAGCTGGCGAAGACAGGACTCCAGGTAAACATAGACAAGACGGAGGTTATGAAAATAACCAACCAACAACAGCAACAACATCCAACGTCAATCACCATCAACGGGAGGGATTTGAAAGAGGTTACTTCATTCACTTATCTAGGGAGCATTGTCTCAACTACAGGAGGAGCGGACGAGGATGTCAAATCGAGAATCGGGAAGGCGAGAAACACATTCATCAGCCTGAAATCAATCTGGAAATCTTCGTCACTCAGCATCACCAACAAAATTCGGATTTTCAATACAAACGTAAAGTCAGTTCTTCTATACGGATCAGAAACTTGGCGGGTCACAAAGAATATTTCCAAAAGGCTGCAGACCTTTATTAACAACTGTCTTCGCTCTATACTGAAGATCAGATGGCCGGGCGGAAAGAATCACCAACAAGGAATTATGGGAACAAACAAAGCAAGAACCAATCGCCCAACAAATATGCAGGAAAAAGTGGAGATGGATCGCACACTCGCTGAGGAGACCGCTGGGTGACATCGCGCGCCAAGCCCTCGAGTGGAACCCGAAAGGGAAGCGGGCGAAGTTTAAGAATAGGGTCCCAAGCGATGCGAACGCACAATGACCTTGAGCCGACCAATCAGAAAATAGGACGATTTTTGCATAAAATTTTACGTATATTTACACAAAAATGCATGAAAGAAAGATTAAACGGATTATATTTCTCTGATATGACTTAAAAATACTTTCCAGTTGCGATGAAGAGTAACAGTTGCTAATTTGGACTAGTTTCTGTAGATGTATTCACCAAAGAGACTGAAGGTGTGTTGTTTTGAGAATGGTTCATCTCTCTTCTATTGCTGTGTAGTCCTCTCCTAAGCCCTCGGTTTAGTTACTATGGTTCCAGTAAGAGCGTTGGCGACTACATACAAGGGAAATAAGGATAACAAAAGAACTTGAAATAAACGAAAAATCTATTCCTAATCGCTACCCTAACCCTAACCCTAACCCTAACCCTAACCCTAACCCTAACCCTAACCCTAACCCTAACCCTAACCCTAACCCTAACCCTAACCCTAACCCTAACCCTAACCTACCCTAACCCTAACCCTAACCCTAAACCCTAAACCTAACCCTAACCCTAACCACAATACTCGCCTTAACCCCTATCCTAACCCCAACGAGATGTTAACACATTGTCCAAACAGTAATAAAAGTGTTATCTGGGTGAAACTTGCTCCTTATTTGATGAATAGGGTTGATATTTCAGCTATGATAATGACAGGAACCGTTAGCCAATGACTAGCATGCGTTCAAGGTCATTTGAGCGTTGAAGGTTTTGGGACCCTATTCTTAAACTTCGCCGGGAAGCGGTGTGTGGGACGCCCAAGGGTGACATGGAGGAGATCGTGTGAAGAGGAGTTGAAAGAATATGGATTAACATGGATGCAGGCGAAAAGTACAGCAGAAGACAGACGAAAATGGAGACGTGCAGTTGAAGCCCTATGTTCCACTAGGAACCCAAGGGAGTAATAATAATAATAAGGGCATGCGTTCGAACACTTCGGAGACTGTGTTTTAATGCGTTTCATCATATTACATCAAGGCCTCGACAATTAAGACATATAATGACAATGTCATCCATTTTATCAGAAACAGGGCAATCTGGGAAATATTTCGTCAGACCAGAATGTTTAGTTATGAAACGACATATAATTGCATGTGGTTACCGGACCAACTGTCACGGCAGAATCCGCAGAGAAGTGCAGCAGTTCAGGTCGTCACATTCCGGAAAAGCGTACACAAAAGTAAAGAAATATGATGAAAGTAAGGCGGGTGAACGCAGTTTCAGCAGTCGCCAACGGTCAACGACTAATTCTTAGCACTTAGTCCTATTTTAACTAACATATACTTATCACAGGCAAGTGTACTCCTATTTCTAACAAAAGTAACATATTGATTACCTAAAATCTATTTATGATCAACTTATTCAAATGAGCAGTCAGCGGTGCTTCCCAACATAACAAGAGACCCACAATAAAAACAGAGCGCTTCATATCGTGACAGGACGTTGTAACTTACAACCCATACAGCCACATTTAGATTTAATTCACAGGTGAAATGTCAATTGTCAGATTATTGCCGAGATGCCAACTATTTTCAAAACCAACCATAAAAAACAATAAAACTTCTGACTCACCAATAGCCATAGCAATGCCAGTGGCCCGATGGAGAAATGAGAATCTCATAACTAGTGGTGGAGAGTACACTTGAAGATGAGGAGACCATGGACGCTTCACAGAGATGTTCTTTGCCCAGAAAGACTGCATTTCCTTCTCAGCTTGCTTACGAACTTGTTCACTTGAGCTACCCTTAGCTGCTTTGGAACAACGCACAACTAGATTCGGTCGCAAAAATCCCACAGTAGATTCTGGGATTGTTGTCAAACGATACCCAGGACCGGTGAGGTTGCGTAAGCAACATAGTCTTGATGACAAGCTGTGAGACAGTTAAAAATCAACAATAGCAAACCTCATCGCTGCAAATAGAGGAAAATAACAGGTGGAAACGGCAAAAACTGGCAGATGACCTTGAGAAACCGAAATATCCTCGCTAAGTGAACAATTTACAACATGAATGATCACAGGCTGGACTTATTCGTCACGTACTCTAGAAGTTACGTTTGGAATTTTTTTTGCCAATAATTTTTAATAAAATTGTATTATATGTTATCTAGATTGAGGGAAATTCCCACTTTTTGGCTGGTTATGTTGGTGTCCGCCTCATGTGATCTGACTGCGACACACTTTTAGCATATTGGTTGCAATGATTAGTGTTTCAGATGGAATGTATCAAAATGTCGGTGTAATGAGGGAGATAGGATAGTTAGAGGGTAATGCCATTTACACCACTCATTTACTCCATGTAGAAGCTGCATCTTTCGGCATAGTATCATTCAATGAAGACTTCATGTCTCAGGATATCAGTACAGCCTATTTTCGTGTGAAGAACAGTCTTTTTTGACAAAATAATTCTCTCAATACTTGGAAATCACCTGCAAATGTTATCAGAATCGTTGGTGGGAACCTAAGTTGTCATTTAGATGTGCTTTTCACTCTATCTGTGGTTGGACAGGAATTATGGTAAGTTGAAAGGTTATCTCTAAATGGATTTCATATATATTGGCACTGGTTGATGCAGTGTGCTATGGGTTATGTTAATTAAATGTACAAAAATATCTCAACTATAATAATATTGTGCCATTGTGTACTAAGCTGACTGATAGGATAACAAACGAAGGTGGTTGTCACGATTATTGCAAGTACAGTGCAGTGGAGAAGGCAATTACTCGTTTAAGTTTCCTTGTTGTTCCAATTAATGCACTAAATCATTACGCGGTATGATTATACGCATGAGTCGTGGTGATTACTAGAACTGAATCTATTCAGCTTTATTATCATCAATATGAATTTATTCTGTTTTACTATTTCCACTGACTGTATACTTAATGCTACAATATTTTTGATCACCAATAGTGGAGATGAATTTCTCCTGAGATTTCCATTTAGACAAAGCAGTACAGGTGCTCTATGACGATTGAATTTTCTAGTTTGCATTATATTACATTATTATCCTCATCAACACAACAGGTCTGTGTACTTTACAATAGTTGAAGTGTTTCACTATGTTGTTAGCACTGTGCATAGCTGTCTAGAGTTGAGGCATGTTCAGCTTATATTCGATGCCTATAGTCTCCTAAATATGAAAATGTGATTTCTGTAGGATTCACAAAACCTTGTGGACTAGACATTACTGAGATTGTGGATTAACTTCTAAGTTATACACTTGCAATACTTCATTTCATGTAAAAGTGTTTAGTGTGAAGTTGATCTGCAAGTAAGCTTGATGAGAGAATGACGCCTCAATAGTATGAATGTTTCGGAGATTGCCTTGAAATTTGCATATAGTCCTCAAATGCAGGAAAACATATGATGTATATTTATGTATACGGCGTCAACATAAATATCAGCTGTAGACTACGAATACATTTATCTCCTTGAGATAATACTTAGTTTTAACAGAATGATTGTATTCATATTGTATGCTAATATGTAGAATTATCTCTTGTTAACTTCATGTTATGCTAGTTCTAACATGTACTTTATTTTTTCCAGGTATACGGAGGTTGTCGAATATGAAATCAGCGGAAACATCATTCGGTCACATTGCAGATTGGTTCTAAATAATTGGTTTTAGGCTAATTATCACTGACTTGCATGGACGAACAAAGATCTTCAGACAAATTTCAAAGAAAAAGCCTCGCTGTGCAAATGTCATTTTGAAAGGGCCAATTTAACTCTTTACCAGGTGAACGTTCCGTATTTTTGTTGACTGATGCCAGTCACCAAGGAAAAATCTCATGAATATTTAGAAGGCACGGCAATTTAAATATGCTTATGAATTCCAGGACGAATTCAAGAAATTCGAGCTAAACTTAGATTTCCAGCTGTCATTTAGACAAACACCTGATGTATTTTACATGTTCTGGAATAAAGTGATTATTATTATTATTATACACAGCTGGCTCAACCACTAACACTTAGCACGATGCTGCAAATCGAAACGCAACTACTGAATTCACTGAATTGGAAACAGTTCACTTAATTGGATAGAACGACTCTCCTAAACGTAATGGGACAATATGCATATGTAGATGCAGGTAGGTATTCACCCATAAGTTAAATCGAAACAATCTTCAGTTCCCTTTGTCTTAAACTACTGAAGACAACTTTCTCGTCTGAAATGGCTTTAAACAGCTGTAATGTTGGTTGCAGTGCCGTTAAGGAATTAATTTTGGTGATGATAACCTACGAGAAGCTTCTCAATGACATAAACATAAGATATTGAGAATTTTTCAATTCCCTGGTAGTTCTTTTGATCAAAACTCACCTACCCTAGTTTATTCCCAGAGAAGTTCACTTGTGGATTGTTGTGTTGGACTTGATGATTCCCAAATAAAAATTGCTCTACATTGTATATGGTCTTTCTGCGCACTCAATAATTCAAGCTTCAGTTCAAAGCTGAATTTTAAACAACTTCCGTTCCTTGTGGAACGAATCTCTTCGTTAGATTGCTCTAATTTTCTGAAGGCTACTTCTTTAGTACGTACTTAAACCATCGCAGCACTATAAAGATACTGACAGTAATTAACCCGAACAGTTTATTCGACCATTATTTGGAAGCTCTGAAAGTGTAAACTTAACAAAATAAAAGTCTCTCTGAATATCTAACATGTGTTTATGAAGTTTCCTTTCTGCGCCTACGGTCATCAGATTTCCTCTGTTGAGTTTTCTGATTCTGATGTACCCAGCAGCAGCTGTAGGTCACTGAACAAATGGGACAGCTGTGCACAAACCACAGAATTTGATTTTACTACAGAACGATTGGTTGGCATAAGGAAATCTTGTTTTTGGGGCCCTGGAACGAACGCGGTTTAGAGGTTGACGGAATTATCTTACACAGCAACTTCTAATTTATTCTCGCGTACCAAAAACAAAGCAAAAGCCAATATTTGATCGTCCAAACTACGTGATATATTTCGGGACCAAAACAAGCCGTCAGAAGAACGCTTAGCTGGCTAGTGATCGTGCACGTAACACGACGGGGTACCAAATGGCGGGGATGCTTTACCGGAAGCCTTCAGCTAAACAAGTCTACTTAAACAGTGGTGGTCAGCATCCAATGAGTGATTGCTGTGGCTAATAATTTTGGGGAATTATTTACCGCTACAGCTTACTCCCCCCTAGTGGGGTGGTGAGGACCCTTTGACAGAGCTAGCCGGAAGTAAAAAAACTCGAATGTTCCCTTTCGGGTGAAAAAATCTTCGGAGCGACTTGGTGGGGTGCCTATTGGTTTGTCTACCTATGCTAATAGTGTGTTTGTACACAGCTTCCTTGTTTTTGTTCTTTGGATCTCGTGCTTCGTTTGTTTCCTGTCCAGTGCCCGTCCCACCTGGAAAAGAAAACAAGAACGCTAAGAACCATGTCGAGGAAAATGTACCAAATCAGCTTCTTTGTTAAAAAAAATGATGTACATTTACTATACAGTAAAATAATGCTCCAAGTAAACCGGTTTCAGACGGTCAATGCTGACGGTGTCCTCGCGGCCTTTTTTGTCCAAGACAAAGAATTTATCCGAACGTTTAATTACTTTATAAGGTCCGTCGTATGGGGAATCCAGAGGTCTGCACACAGAGTCGCGACGAACAAATACGTGTGAAGAAGTTTTCAAACACGGATGAACTAAAAATCAATGGACTGTGGACGAAGGGGAGCAGGTTTAACTGAACGCATTGCGTTTGTAAGCCTGCTGACGTATGAAGCGTGATCTACCACTGGTGGGAAGCTCGAGGGAGAAACAAATTCACCAGGCAGTCGCAGTGTCGTGCCATATACTAGCTCGGCGCTAGTACAACCAGCATCGGTTTTCAAGGCGTTTCGTATCCCTAGGAGAACTAACGGAAGGGATTCAGTCCAATGGGTGTTTTTTGCAGCTGACAGACCAGCTTTCAGCTGTCTGTGTAGACGTTCTACCATACCATTAGCTTGAGGATGGTAGGCTGTTGTTCGAAAACGCATGCAACCTATGATTTTAGTCAGGGCGAAGAATAAGCCACTTTCGAATTGCCGCCCGCGATCAGTTGTTATGGAAGATGGGCATCCAAAGTTAGCGATCCATCTTTCTGCAAAGACGCGTGCGACTGTTTCAGCAGATACGTCCTTGATGGGTACTGCTTCCGGCCATCGTGTGAATCGATCGATGCAAGTTAAAATATAGGTATATCCATGGGATTCAGGAAGGGGTCCAACCAAATCTATATGGACGTGTTCGAAACGAGCGTCAGGGAGAAGAAAGGTGCCAAGTGGGCTTTTGGTGTGTCTTATCACCTTGCACTTTTGACAAGCTAAGCACGTGTGTGCCCATTCCCTTACTTCTTTATTAATGCCAGGCCAACAAAACCGACTAGTTACGAGCTTGACAGTAGTTCGAATACCTGGGTGAGATAAGCCATGCAACGTATTGAAGACGTTACGGCGATAACTTTTAGGCACGATGGGGCGAGGAGTACTCGTGGAAATGTCACATAGAATAGTATCTCTTCCCATACCTAAGGGTTTCTCAGCTAATTGTAGAGTTGTTTTCGACAACTCATGTTGAAGCTCGGTATCTTCTTTTTGAAGACGAGCCAGTTTTACAAGGTCTATGCCGTCGATTTGGGTGAGGGAACAAACGCGCGACAAGGCATCTGCCACAGTGTTATTCACTCCGGATACATGGCGAATATCTGATGTAAACTGTGAAACGTAATCCAGTTGTCGTGATTCTCTGGGTGAATACTTATCTGAAGGTGAGTTCAGAGAGTACGTCAGAGGTTTGTGATCAGTAAAAATTATGAATTCACGACCCTCTACTGAATGTCGAAAATGTCGTATAGCACAGTACATAGCCAGAAGTTCTCTGCCGAATGTGCTGTACT